CTGTCCTTTCTTGTTGCTTTTAGCTTTACTTGTGCCTGGTGGACTCCCTTGCTCACCCAGCAAGAAGGGCACAATAACAAGTTGTTAGAGAAATAAACATGAAGATTTTTGTCTGAGGAAGGAGTTTGCCATTTACAAAATATTAATTGCAGCATCAGGACAAAGTTTCTCAGAAAAACATTTATTGCAGAGAAGAATAAATGCACCCATAGGTCTTTTTCTGTACTGTTTTTCTGGTACAATTGTCCTCTGACCATAACTCCAGGTACCAAGGTATTATTGTAAGTGCGCTGTTGCAAATTAATGGGATATTTATCTCACTTTTAAATGTAAACATATGTTTCTCTAGCTACAAAGCTCAAGGAGTGATCGAAGATGTTACAAACAGAATAGTGGATCATATTCGCCCTGGACCTTATAGGCTAGACTGGGACAGCTTAATGACTACAATGGACATCATGGAAACATTTGAAGAGGTGAAGACTTGTTTAGATTCTTAAGGGAAATGTGTATAGATGCATACATGAATTTAACAGTACAGCAGAGCAGTCATTCGAACAAATACTAGTGTTTTTCTGCCTGTTTTCTGCATGCACATGGGATGTTGCGCATACATGCAGTGAGTGACCTCAGATGAGGTTTTCCAGCTGCACAGTCCTATTCTGAAGCTCAAAAGTTCAGCTTTCCACCAATGCTAAAAATAAAGGAGTAAAACTTGGTCAGTCACAGTTCTTTCAGACCTAGGAGCTCTGGTAACCTCTGTTAAAATTCTCATGTAGAAAGTTACAGTGTGATATTTTATATGCCAAAGCCTTTTCATACAGCTTGGTTTCTTCTGTTCCACAACAAACAAAATTGTGGGTATTAATAATCGACACATACAGAAGCTACAACCGCTCCCTGTTCCTGAAAGACTGACTTCACTGTATGGCAGGGCTTGTGCTGGAAACCAAAATAGTTCATACTGAGGGGCAGGACTTGCTAAAGAAAGGTAGGTTTGAAGTTGATTACAGAAGAGCTGGTAGCCTTCCTTTGATTACTGGGGACGTTCAGTATGACTTTAAAACCCTGTGAACATCTGGCTGAAACATGGATTGTCCTTTGCCCTGGCTCTTAAGGAAGATTTATTTGGTAAGGTATTTTTGCAATTATTCCCTAAAATTATATAAACTCTATAAGGAAGCCTTTTTTATGAATTGTTTTGATTCTGTTTTTTTTTCACTTGATGGCTTAAAAGTACTTGACAGAGCATCTTACGACCAAGAGAGGCCTCTTGCAATTTATTCACGATCCTTTCAGACTTTCTAAGTAGTGGTTAAGCCACATAAAAGCCACATGACTTTCAGCTCCCAGGCATGACACAGTTCGTTAGTTTTAGTTAGTATGGTTTAAAGGTGCCAGATATTTTTCGCACCTGCAACTCTCAGTTGCAGACTGCAAGTCCTTCTGAACTTCCAGCATTTAGACTGAAAATGATACGCCATTCAGACCTCACTGAAGTTGTTTGCACAGCGTAGTTGACAGAGGCTGTGACCTTTGTGGAACAGGGTAGCTGCCTACAAGCATAAATTTCCCTGTATTCATTATACTAAGATATTTTTGTTTTCTTTCCTTCCTTATTCTGTCACTCAAAAGAACTGCTGTGTGATGCGCTACACCACTGCTGGCCAGCTCTGGAACATCATAGCACCAAGGGAGTTTGTTGATTTCTCTTACACTACAAGCTATGAAGATGGGCTTCTAACATGTGGTAAGGTGCTGCTTATCTCTGCTTAATTCTTATTTTGCAACACCTGCTTGGCTTAAGATTTGATTCAAATTAAGTTTAGTTTTGCGGTAAGCATTCAAAAATGGTGTAAGATGGTCTCCAACAAGTATTTCAAGGGTATTTTAACATTTTACAGATTTAAAGAAGTATACAGGTTACTGGTTTACCCATGAGCCTTCCCTGTGTGCCAAGTTTCACTTATGCCAGCTGTAGGACAGGGGTGGTAGAGACAAGTTGAGTGCTCTGACTCAGCTCTTACAGCACATTAGGTGGAGTAACAACTTGCTCAACATGCTAGTAAATGGGAGGAATGTATTTTTAATGTCAGAATTTCTGCTTATCAAGCTCTGCTTGTTTGTTGTGGATGAAGAGCAGACAACTTTCATGCATGAAAGTACACAGAAACTTGAAGTGTGTCTGTCACTTCTACTAAATTCCCCAAGCAGAAATTTGTACATTTTAAAATTTACTGTACCTTTATTTTTTTATCTGTCTCAAGTTAATTTCCCTTTTTTTGTTTGTTTTCTTTGATAGGTATAAGCCTAGACTATGGAGAGGTGAGACCTAACTTTGTCCGTGGATTCAATCACCCTTGCGGTTGGTTCTGTGTCCCTCTTAAGGACTATCCTAGCCACAGTCTTTTGACAGGCTATATTCAGACTGAACTGCGAGGGATGCTACCACAATCTGCAGTAGATACTGCCATGTCTAGTACACTGGCCAATTTCTACTCTGACCTCAAAAAGGCACTAAAACCATAGACAAACAGTGACTTAAAAGCGTGTGCATTTCTTGCAATCAAATTACATTGTTTAGCTTAGCATAGCTTAGCTACTGAGTTAAGAGGTGAGTAACATTGTTCCTGAATGATACCTGAACTTTTATGTTGAGGGATCCAAACAACTTTACCAAGTACTTTTTGACATGGTACTTCGCATACGTTCCTAATTCATAGTGTGAGATTCTGTTTCCTGGTCAGCACTCTGCAGCTGTGTGAGGAGTAGTCTGAATCTATAAGCCCCTGGCTTCCTAGGTAGAAAACACAAGATGTGTGTGTGAGCTTGAAAAATGCAGCATGAACTCAGGTCTCACCAGCAGTATTGAGAGTGAAGTGCTCAGGATTTTGCTGGTGCAGGTTGCTGCACAGGCAGCATCTCATTGAAGGTGTAATTCTATAATATATATATTTTTATATACACTTAAAATTTTTGATTTATTTAGTTTGTACAGGTGCATCTGTAATTTGTTTTAAAAAATTTGCTTTGATTTATCATAGGGATATTATGTAGCTAAGTTGTTAAATGATACTATTCCTAAGAAAGCTATTCACTCTTTTTAGCAAAAATAAGTGTTCATTATTGGCATAAGATAAAGAAATGCCCTTACAGCTGATCCAAAGCTCATTTAAGTCATGAGGTGTCTTTCCATAGTTTTTAGTGGGCTTTTAATCACACAGTTGGCAAAATAACAAACTTCCAATGGATCTTCTGTGATACTCTGCACTCCTAAAGAATTTTTTACTTAAACTTGCATGTAATTGTGTGTGTGGTTTTTTGGGGGTCTTCCTTGACTGAAATCCTGGAATCACTAAAGCAACAGAAAGGACCACTAACTTGCTTCAAGTAGAGGCTTTGTTGTAGCCACAAGAGCACAGACTGCCAGCGTGCTGGTACAGCACACTGGAGTGTTCTGTGGTAATACCCGTAGACTGATCTCTGCAATAAATGAAGTTAGCATCTTAAAACATGAGCAACTGACGGCCAAAGCTCAAGCTGCAGAATTGCTCAGATCTGCTGGAGAGTGGAGGGTCAAATTTTTAAGGATATTTAGCCACCCAGTGATGCTGACAGGTACACAGCAGGGGCTGTCAAAAGATTACTGTCTGTGCTAGGAACCTGAGTTCTGTTTAAAACCTGACATTAGGCTTTTAATGTTGGTATGTGTCATTCATTCAGGTGAGACTGTAATTATCCCTGTGCTTTACCAGTGCTAGTAGAGGCAAGTTTAGCTGTGTGGTAGTTAGGGAAAGTACTTTGGAGCTCTAATATTTTGGGGGCAGTTGTATACATCCAATCCAAGGACTGGTAATGAACTCTCAGAAAAAAAAAAAATTCTGATGAAAATTGTTCCCCTGCAGTAGTGGTTCTTTTGACAGTGACCACCTTAGCTGAACTCTGAACAGTGAGGACTTTTCTTTCTGATTACCTAAGCAAAGAAGTAGAAAAAGCATGACACCAAATATAGTGAGGGCTCTTCCAATGTGCTTCTTGTATTAAAGCATTTAGTTCTGTTTGAGAAATTAAAAACAATGGCATCAAACAGCCTTTGATGTCTTCCTAGGCAGAAAATGTCAGTTCCCTGTTGGGATTTGTGTATTCTGCAGTTCCCTTTAAACTCCTTGGTTATTCTTCCGGTCTTTTCTACCTTCCTCATTTTCCCCACAACACTGGAAGTTCACAAGGTGATCTTTCACCAACAAGGACACTAAGGAATCGATGTCAGCAGACATGCTTTTTCCTAGTGCTAGGGTCCACTCCTTTCTAGTACTGGTACAGAGGCAAGTATGAAAACCCTAGCAGTACTGCTCTGTGGGATGAATGCTGACATGACTATAGAGGAAGCTGTGTGAAGTATACCCTGTTTATTCTTCCCAGTTATAAAGACTATGTGTACAGTGAATCTGCATATTCATGTCTTCTTTTCTGAAAACTGCTGAGACTGACCAATTAAGGGGTTGTGATACACATGTATATAGAGAAAAATATCCCATTGCTCTGTAAAAAGCCCAGTTTGAATCTACACAGAGGCACTTCAGTGCTGGGGAAATGGTTTAAAGGAGCACAAGACACTTAAGAGGATGATGTTTGTACAACACTGCAGAAAAGATTAAGAGGTCCCTGTTCCAAACAACCACTATAAGGGCTGTAACACCTCTGAAGTACGTATCCTTATTTAGTGTTCAGCGACATGGCTTTTTATGGTTTCAGTGAAGATAGGCTGATGAAGCACAGAGCAGCTGAAGAAAGAATTTGTGTTTAAATGGAAGAAAATTGCTAGTGTATTGTAAATATGATGATGTTTTTAATAAAAATTTCTTCATGTAGGTTTCCTTTTCATCAACAGAATTGTTTTCAGTAACAGACCTAGAAATGGAAATATTTTGTGAATAAGAGTAAAGTTTCTGAAACCAAAGTAGGCCTTCTATTTTGCATTATAGTAATTTATTCCTTAAACACTGATTAAACTGGCTTTGTGTGTTTTAACAGACATAGTCTATTGTTTCTGCCAATGATTCTGAACATTCGAGTTAGTACCAAGCAGAGACTACGAGAGACAGAGAATGGAGGCAGATTTTTTTTTAAAAAAAAACCAATAAAAGAGCATAGTGCGATTCTCCAGTTTTGAAATGAGGAGGAATCACAGAAAGTGCAAACAAATTTTAAGGAATTATTTTGAGGAATCTCACACTTCTAAAAATTGTTCTGATTAGGAGTGCAATGATTGACTGCTGAAGCAGTGCATAGCTGGTGTGCCTACAGTCATTATTCCAAGCAGTTCAGCTATAGAGTAATACAGAACTAGAAGACAGATGTCCAGTTTCACAGTGTGTTATATTTATTTGAAATCAAAACTTAGTTTCTTTTTGTATAGCTAAGGATTAAGAGGAGTGTTAGATCTTGAAGCAGAGCTGTTGTCTAACCAGAGTACATTCAGAATGAAGAAAGCCACAAAATCAAGTGCCTCTTTTCTGAACCATGGCATTGTTTTCTTCTGAACTTAGTGGACAATCTAGATGGAGCCAAGGCAGTAAAAACAGGAAAGCAGTTGAAAGGACAAAGTGCAGGACCCCATGTTTTGCTTATTAGGAGGTAGTGGGAGACAAAGTAAATTACCTAGTATAGATTTCTGTCATCCTCATGGCAGAATTTCTGCAAGTTTGTGAGGTTCACCAGTACTTGAGTTTAAGAGTGTTTCAGGTAAACTGGAATATCGTTATCCAAAAGCGACTTCTGAACAAGGTGCCCAAGAATAGCAGAGAGCAGTTTTTGTGAGGGAAATGGCATGTATATAGACGTATCAAAATTATTTTTTTATGATTAGTGTTTTTTTTTAAAAAAATACTTTTTCAGGGGTTTAGGCAATATGACAGTCTAATCTTTGGCACTTTAATGAGGTGCTCTGTGTGTCGATGGGAAAGATGGCTAAAGATAAGACAATTTTCATGTTTGGCTTCTGTTCCTCATCTAAAACCTCCAGCACTAAAGCTTGCCTGTAGTTGCGCTCTTTATTTTACATATGCAGAAGGTAGAGATTGGACTAAGTTCAATTTGGGGCAGTCCAAGGTACTCTACCACAGCCTGCTGGGAGGTGGACCAGTACTTCAAATAGATATTCTGGGAACAGCACAAGCCCTGATCTCAGATTTGATGAATTTATAAATGTGAAACATGGTGAATTTACAAAACATGGGAAGACTGTATAATTCCTCCAGTAATCATAAATAAACAGAACTGTTTTGATGGCATGAGCTGGTGATTCAACCTAGGAGATTCACTGCTGTAAAAGTAGCCATAATTCTAGTGAAACCACTCAAGCTGTGTCTATTTTGAGAAAGTCAAAGTCAGTCTATCTTTACAGTGGTTTCAACTGACTGTGTTCAGCACTTAAGAGATTGTATTTACATTTTCAATGCAATTGCAGAATAAATTAAAACATGGATTCCAACAGACTCATGATGTAGCTTTTTGAGTACTTGTGTGGATGTAGCAGTCAGTTACTTTTTGGGGAATTATGTCTGATGATGTAGTTCAGCTGCATGGTGATCTCTAATGCTATCAATTCATGTCCTTGAATTTGAAAGCCAAGAAGCCAGTCTTTACTTAGAAACTTGATTTAGACCAAGGAAGGTGCACAACTCAGACTTCCGATAAATTGAAATCTCTTCAAAACTACGAATAGGATTTTCTCAAAGCTTAAATTCTAAAAATATATATAGTTTTTTGTAATGACCCCACAATTGCTGTGCAAGAACTTTATTATTTTGTCTTAGTATTACTTACCTTTTAGCATGTTTAAGAAATGGCTTATTAACCATCAAAATTAGGTTAATTCAAAACACATGAGCATGTAGCAGCTTGCAAGAGACGTACAGATGTACATTAGTACTATAAAGCATGCTGCAACATGTATTTTGACATGTGTTTAATTAGCACCTACGGAAATGAAGGAAGAAAATGCCTGTATCTTGTGTAGAACCTTTCCTTGTTTCTCTTACTAAGCCTGGATAAAGGCAGGAGAGTTCTGTAGCACTGGACTTCAGAGCAAAGAGTTGCAGCCACCTTCTGTTGCTGAGAAAAGGAGCTGTGACCTCTCAGATACAGCACGCACTTGTAGGGCATCTATCATGTTGCTCTCTGCAAAGTGGAGTAGCAATAGGTGACATTAATTAGAATTATTAAAAATAATCATGATGTTTAAACCTATTTCCTGGTGAAAGAGAATTTGAAGATGGGAGTGAAAATAAATCTATGCTAAATATTAAATGTTCTCTAGGAAAGAATATGTCCTGAAGTCCTAGACTACAATTTAAACTTTATAATACATTCTGCCTTTTCCAGTCCTCACTGAGCTGTGCTGGTGACTCAGTTTTACGGTACAAGTAGGGACGGATTATTGTGAGATTAACCTTCCTTGGGATTGTGCCACTAGCAGGGAGAAAACAGGCACAGGTGATAACAGCATATGATGGGAGATATCTGTA